AGGGGCGAGGTTGTGGTTAGAACGCTTGGTTGAGTGCATCAGACGAGACGATGAAGAAGTTCATCAAAGCCGGAACTAATCGAGCCATTTGTGCCAGGATGGGGAGAAAGGTATTTTAATAATGTAAATTATGTGAAAAATAATGCGTTTTTCGAACCACCAAGCATGAGAGCATGTTCTAGTACACCCCCAAAACAAAATCAAGACTTTGTAAAAGAGCATAATAGGACCCCTTTAAAAGACGACGTGAAACTCATTTCTACATTAGTGAAGTCAACAAACATAAATGACAATGTCAGTTTTACTCTTGCTGCTCTAGGTAAGTGCAGACACAATTATTATTAATGATGAAACTCAGTTTATATAGTATTCATTAAGTAAGATCTGGGGGTTCAAACTTTCTGGCACGCAAAGTGAATCACACATGTGACTGGACAGGAAGTGAGGCTTCGGCTGTGTCCTGCGTACTGTCTTGAGTAGGTACTTTTTTGAATAAGTAATTACTTTGCAAACAGAAAAAGAGTATGTTCTATATAGTATGAATGTGTGTAGAATTAATGTGATCTGGACGTACTACATTTGGCATGTTGTCATTGTCACGTGACCTACCAGTGTCAGTTGCATCACGTCACTGCCATTCATAAATCCTCTCCCGTGGCCTCATGGGATAGTAAAGTATCCCATCATATGCACACTTCAGAATCACACAAGAAATAGTAGGTCATCCAGGTACTTTTTGCCTAGCTCTTTTATGACTGCTGTGAATTAATGTGAGTACTGTACTATACTTCTTTTGTTACATACTGTTTTTTGCCTACTATATAGTAGGGAAGTATGTGATGTAGCCTTTATTTGCCATTGATCACATTACTCTGTGAAACCAATACACTCCCCGATGTGGGGGTTCACAGGAGATTGTGCAGCATGCTCAATAAGCACCTCGAAGTGAACACCGCTAAAAACCAAACCACTTTCATGGTGCCTAAAATCCAGAGTTGGCACAAACTAAACTGAAACTTACCTGATTAGCTAGCTAAACCAGCTTCATGGGATAGGCCCTGGTTTACAGAGCACATATTTGTCAAAATGCGGTTGTAAGTCTTGGAAATCTGTGTGTGTGAGTTTGGTTATATAATGTTGTCACTCTAGTAAATAACTGAACTGTATGTTAACGTCACCGTATTGAACACTCTTATTACACGGCTCTGTGGAATACTTGATTCTGATTGGTCAGTCGCGACATTCCGAGGTATGCTATCCCTCGATAACAACCGGTAAAGGCTAATAACACAGGGTCATCCGGGTAACAGCAGTCGGCGCTATACTCTTGCTTGAACTATTTTTTCTTGGTGGAAGCTTTGCGATTGTTGTTACTGAGTGTTTACTTAGTGCAAGGAAGCTTGATTTCAAACTCTGAATTTAATTGATTCCAACTGTGTAAGCTATTGTGCAACAAGATTAGCCCATACATCCATCTAGAGTTGTGCTTTCGGATTTCTGTAAGTATCTTCCAAATGATATAAATATGAATAAACTCTTAGTTATATAAACTGTAAAAACAGAAATAGGTGAGATGATATTAATTTAAAACAATAATAATAATAAAATAAAATAAAAACAAAACAAAATAAATGTCTAAAATTTCCAACTCCTGCCTCTATTTTGCTGTTTACTGATTTCCCCCCTCATTTTCAAAAACAACATTAAAGTCCTGATGTATGGAATTTCTCCTCTTTTCCTTGATATGTTTAAATTTATCTGCAATAACTTTAGCACTTGATCCTCCTGTTAGAGCTGCTCCTCCTGCCATTAAAACTACAGGCAGAGCCACTCCTCCAGTAGCAGCAACTAATGCTGCACCTCCTGCAACTGCCACTCCTACACCTGCCACACTCGCTCCCACTAAAGCTGTATCTTCAACCTTTTTCATCATTATCTTTTTCTGAGCTTCCTTGTACATCTTATTTGTGTAATGCTCTCCTCCATTCTTTGTCACCATTATGTCTATTTTCTTGAACAGTTCAGTAACCTGTGCTGGATTTTTATCAATGTTATTAAAAATGTGATACCTGCCTCCACACTGTCTAACTAGCTCATTAAACTGCTTGTTTTTGGTGAGAAACTTTTCTATAGACATGTGTAACTGATCTCCTCTAGTGAACAGAATGATGGTGTAACGTGCAGCTTCTTCTCCAAAGTTTTCCTGAATCCATTTCACTGTGTTTTTCTCCTCGTCTGTGAATCTCATGTCCAGTCTGATGACCAGCAGAAACACATGAGGACCAGGAACAGACATTTCTACACATCTCCCTATTTCATTCTTCAGTTTCCCTTTACTGATTGATGTATCATACAGTCCTGGAGTGTCGATCACTGAGATGTTTCTACAATCCACTGTCTTCTGACGTTTCTTGCATTTCTCAGTCACAGATTCAGAAGAAAATTCTTCCTTAAATGCCTTTCGTCCCAGTATAGTGTTTCCTGTTGCACTTTTTCCAGTGCCAGTTTTACCCACCATCACAATCCTGAGATCTGACATGATTAAAAAAAATATAAAAGGACAGACGTAAAAATTTATGCATTATAGACTCTAGACTGTCTCTAGATAATGAGCTAATTTTATGAAAATCGGACCAACAGCACAGGATCTCCATTTCCTGAATTATTAAAGAAAGAAAAAAAATGTATCTGTGGAATTCAGATTTTTTTCTTTTTCTATTTACATAGTAGAAGGACACGATCATTAATATTTACACAACAATTTTTATCTAAAATTGATCTATAAAATAGATAATTAAATCTGTAACTGAAAGGACCAACTTTTCCATGAACATTTTTTTTTTCAATCTGGAAAATAGCTGGCTAGTGGACAATAATAATATCTGGACTTAAAATGACATATTTTACTAGAGTAAATCAGACATTTCTGCACTCAACAAGTATGCATTATAAACTGTCTCTAGATAATGAGCTAATTTTATGAAAATCGGACCAACAGCACAGGATCTCCATTTCCTGAATTATTAAAGAAAGAAAAAAAATGTATCTGTGGAATTCAGATTTTTTTCTTTTTCTATTTACATAGTAGAAGGACACGATCATTAATATTTACACAACAATTTTTTATCTAAAATTGATCTATAAAATAGATAATTAAATCTGTAACTGAAATGACCAACTTTTCCATGAACATTTTTTTTTTTCAATCTGGAAAATAGCTGGCTAGTGGACAATAATAATATCTGGAATTAAAATGACATATTTTACTAGAGTAAATCAGACATTTCTGCACTCAACAAGTTTTCTGTATCTGTGCTTTATGGACTTTGAGACCCATAGAGCACAAAAATAAGATCTTAAATTTCACTATTACATCATATTTTACAAATAATTTATTACAAAAATAATTTGGTCTCATTCACTAATAATTGTGCAGATTATTCGTATTTATAAGCACATTCATACACAGGTTTCATGCACAAATTTGTGTACGTATGTTTAGTCATTGAGACCCAATGTATCAACAGTAGAATGATAGTTCCCTTTCAAGGGAACTTCGAACTGCGTCCTCTAGGGTTCGCTATGGAGAACGCCTCGTCGTGACCCGTGTCTGAAGCATACATTCAAAAAACACCAACAACATGTTGGCTGGCGACAGCCTATGACATCACTACCGGTGTGACTATAGTATAAATAGGCGCCGGGAGAACACGTCATCCTCTTCTTCGTCTTCATTGACTGTTTTGTTTGAAGCGTGCATTCCGGTGGTAAGAGCGATCTTTCTTCCTTTATTATGGCAAGCACTAGCAAGACGTTTAGGAGATGTGTGCATCTGTGTCTTCGTTATTTGACACCTGATGACACACATGATCTTTGCGTCTTTTGTTTGGGCGAAGAGCACGCACGCGATGTCCTCGAGGGGGCAATCTGCGTTAACTGAGAGCGTTTTTCAATGAAAAAGCTCCGCTCTCGTTTGTCTCTCTTTTCGAGGAAAGAGGGGCAGCTGTCTGCTCCCCGCGGTTCAGGACCTGCCGCTGCTGAGGCATGGAGGAGAATGAGGTCGTGGGGATCGCAGGCGGATCTGGCTGCTGAGTTTAAGGAGGGGCATTCCCTCTCACGCTCGGCCGTGGACGAGGGTGAGCTGCTGGAGGATGATGTGATTTCCCTAACATCATCTGATCCAGGGGCCAGTGCTCTGCTGGGTTCGGGCCAGGAAGAGCAGGAGATGTCTGAGGAGGGCAAAGAAGCTGAGGCTGAGCCTTCCCAATCCTCCTGCCCTGCGTATGATAAGCTATTGGAGGTTATGGATCGCGCCACGGCGAGGCTTGACTTGCCGTGGAAGCGGGCCAAGAAGGTGACGCCGCGAGCGTTATCTGTCTGACCATAGCCCTCCAGCTCAGGTGAGC